CATGCAGTTAAACAGAACATAGATAATTGTTTACAATATTAAAGAGCGAGAGTCAATTACTTCGTGTAGTAATAATTACAGTTAATGTATATATTGAAAATATTTTTAAAAACATTTTTTCGTAGCTTTCAAGGGTTACTTAACTGGTTGGGTAAATGTTTTTGTTTTGGGGGTCGTAGACAGTCTAAATTTTAAAAATTTTCTCGCTCGGCGCCAACGATGGTGGCAACTTGTGAGATTTGTAAGAGAGCATACCGAAACATTTTTTGTTAGCTACGCCACTGATTAAACATAAAATGAGCGTTGTTGCTAGACACCCCCCGGAAAGTTTACACAGTAACTGAATGACATGTGTGAATTTTCGCCACTCACCACAATACTGCAAAGTTGCCATGGAAACTTTGCACTAAAATCAAAACAACAAATTTGCCCTAATTTGAGAATTACAACTGGAATGACGTGTGGCGCTTTGCAGTTGCAATTTTTAACCTTGAATTTTTGGCCTCTTTCAGTCCCTTGAAATCATTGGGATAGGTCGCTATCCGGGCCAGCTCGCCTCCATATAATCCGGCCCTAAGGCTACCATACTGTCTATTCACACCACTGTGGATATTATTGGCCATTTTCGCGGAACTGTTACTATGTTCCTTGGCGAATAGACCTTTCAAGGTTATCGCAGCCATATTGCAGGGGATGCAAAAACATTGGGCCGAGCGCGCGGTCACGCATGGCGTCCATATAAATTACTAATAAATGCGCAAAAATTACCCTTATACATATTGGCCATTTCTTTAAAAAATATTTCTCAAACTCGTCCATTTTAATAGTTGAATTATTATTTGCGACTTTTTATACACGTGAGTCCAATTTTGTGGTAATCAAAAAGCGGAAAGTTAAAGAAAACATTTGTTTTCTTTGAACAACTTGACCGTCGTTTGAGCGATGTTCTTGAGTTCGAAACACACGCACATGTCTACAACAAAGTAAGCAAGTATCACGAGGAACTATTCTACGGCAAACTCTTATTAGTATTTCCAATTATCTGTAAAGTGACATTGCTATTTTTATTATTATGTATGGCGACTTAACAGCCAGAAGAAGAAACAGCCAAGTATTCAAATAAACACTTAAAACTGTTAGTCGATGGCAGGCCGGTGTGAAACCTTACATCATACTCTCTCGTCAACTGTTCAAATTCCAAAGGGACAGGGAGTAAAGATGCCTCAGATTTTGCTGGATTTCCATCAAAACTTGAATCAGAATCCTCGGTGTCATAGGATTGATGAGGACGCTTTGATGTCGTCCATATTTCTCCTCCTTTACGTTTAAGCGGAGTCCTCGATTGCTCGTACTCTGATAGCGTAATAAAAACCGAAGGATAATCCGTTCCGCGGTTATTTGGGATTCTTCTTACCAAGGGAAAATAATTTGAGCAAATTTAAGTACCTTGTGCACCACGCTTTGGGTTAAAGTCATCGGCTCTGCTGTTTGCAATTTGTTTTCGCCAAATTTCAGCAAGTGCTTGATCTTTGGGCCACTTATGAAAAACTAAATTTTCTACGTGAGACCTCTTAACTTGATAATAGGGATTACGTTTATCATTATCGCAATAACCAACTGCACAACGCGCATTTTTTAGCATTTCGGCTATGACTTCTCACGGCTACTCGGCTAGTTTAGGGTTTAGTTAGTTTGACTCATTGAGTTCTATAAGACCTGGAGGGGAAACGTCAACAAAATTACTATAAATTATCAGCGCGCGGCCGCGTGGTCAAAAACATGGCGGATTTTGGTGGTCAAAGTCAGCGGAGAGACGCGGGCTCATGAAATAAAATTTTTGTCGCCCACCCTGATTTGACCACCACGATTGCGAGTATAGAAAATATCAAAACTATTTTCCTAACATAAACACTTTTTTAAAATTTTATTTATTAAACTGCCAACTTCTGTGGTTTGCGGATGCTGAAATAGCGACAGAAAAGGAAACATTCTTGACTCCGGTAAGTAGCACAGTATTAGTTTTACTATTTTGTTTTTAACACGATACTTGAAAAGTGTTTCTACTACTAAGTTTTAATTTAAAGTTATTTTGGTCCAGTCTTGTTTGTTCTTCACTTAATCGCTCGCCGGACGTGTCGAAGCTGTCAATTTTTATCGAGTTTTGCATCCATCTTGTATCATGATCAAGGCATCAAGCTAAACTCTCCTGATTTGAATTGAGTTTACCTCCCAAAAATGGGGCATAATTTGTTCATGTTTTTTTTTTGAAAAGATGAAGGGAAAGTTTACAACAGAGTTGTGTTGAAATTGAATGCAGTGCCATGCAAAATTAATGAGTAATAATAATATGAATAAAAATAACTATTAAACTGTTTGCCTGCTCAATTTGACTGACTGTCTAGTGTAGGCAATTATAATGGGATTGGAAAGTTGGATTTATGCAAACGATTTTAAAGTACTACTTAGCGTTTCTGTAAATGAAGTATTTGTTGTTATAGTAAACAGGTTACTACTTCAAAACCATGATAAAAGCAGTGTGTTGAACAATGTGCTAAGATTTGTTTCTACCTTGAAATTTTTCTTCAACAGTAGCTTATGATTATATCATTAATATGCATGAAAAATTAAACATATTATTGTCTCATCTCATGAAATCCATACTTGGTATGATTCCAGGTGATCCACAAATTCACATCGGATGCATTGGTTACAATGAAGTTGAATGTAGAAGAAGCAAAAATAGATGGCAAAGAAATTCTTTGTGTCTTATGAAGAATTAGTAGAAATCAATAAAAAGAATTCTTTAAACAAATTGTAAATAAATTTAAGTTTGCTCATGGTCAAGCAACCTAGTCAAAGAAGGAAAGTCTGTCTTCAACATGTGACCTTTCCAATTATTTAGTTTCTTTGTACAAAATACTATTTTCGAGAAACTTGATTTGTAAATCTTTCATTAATATTATTTTACCAAGAGATAAAAGGAACTAATTCAAAGGCTTGATGTAAAATACAAAGATTTAACAAGTTGTTTATCATTTAATTCCTAAATGTTAGTTTGTACATATAAATTAGTATTGGTAGCTGTAAGTTGTTTAACCAAAACAGAAGAGTAGTAGTGCTCGAAGGCGTTAGCATTTTGAAAAATTATATATTGTTCATGACATATATTACACAATTCCAAAAAACTGTAAGTAATGCACAATAATATCTATAGAACTTGATAAATTTCTTCACCTACACTGTCAAATAGCTATTTTGCCTTCATGCAGCAATAAACAGTGTTTTTAAATTAAATGAAGATATGATCTTCGCACTTTGCTGGACAATTTAAGCAATCGTCTCAGGACCTGAAAAATCAGGTGACTCAACGGGATTCGAACCCATGACCTCTGCGGTGCCGGTGCAGTGCTCTGACCAACTGATCTATGAAGTCACACAGTGGTGAGCAGGTCAATATTGTTGGGCTCATGTTTTCTCGTGAAAGGAATGTCGTATGAATGTTTTTTTATGCAGTGCGGTGTTTGAAATTAAATGAAGATATGATCTTCGCACTTTGCTGGACAATTTAAGCAATCGTCTCAGGACCTGAAAAATCAGGTGACTCAACGGGATTCGAACCCATGACCTCTGCGGTGCCGGTGCAGTGCTCTGACCAACTGAGCTATGAAGTCACACAGTGGTGAGCAGGTCAATATTGTTGGGCTCATGTTTTCTCGTGAAAGGAATGTCGTATGAATGTTTTTTTCATGGGTTCGAATCCCGTTGAGTCACCTGATTTTTCAGGTCCTGAGACGATTGCTTAAATTGTCCAGCAAAGTGCGAAGATCATATCTTCATTTAATTTCAAACACCGCACTGCATAAAAAAACATTCATAAGACAGTGTTTTTGTCAGAGAAACCAATGCACTTTAGTTTCCAAGTTTGTAATTTCAATGGAAAATTAATGTAGTTCTGTTCAGTAATAGATCCAAGATTCTGCCAAGCTGTTTACAAAATACAAATTACCAAGCAACAGTGTCATTGTGTTTTGAATTTTTTTCTTTTTTGTAGCTCTTCTAGTTCAACATACTTTCTTTATGAGTTTTCAGTAGATTTATCAGGTAATGACAATACACTTATGATACTTATCCATGGTAAACTTTCTGTTGACTTATGTCGTAGGACTGAAGCGCAAACATTTTCTCGCTTCCTTAGGAGCATTTTAACACAGATTTATCCATTTGAGCAAGAAAAATAGTTGCACCAAATTGTTTAGAAACAGTAAACACACAGAAGCATGAAATAATGTATAAGTTTGACGAGATTGACAGGTCTACTAAAGAATGCCGTTTGATTTTCACTTTTAAAAGGTTAAAATGTCATAAAATAACTTAAATGTTACATCCAAAATATGCGTTTCTCTACCGTCGATTTTCTTTATTTTGATGTGTGTCTGTACTGTGTTTTTCACGCAATGCTGAAGCATTATTTTCACATGATATGCTGTCGGTATCGTAATTGTTTTTTTTCTCACTTGTTTTCGTTCATACAAACAGTATTAGAAATCAGGAGGGAGTGAACATTGAAAAAAATTTTTAAAGTGGAAGTTTTGACCACCAAAATCCGCCATTACCGCCATGTTTTTGACCACGGGGTCCAGGCCCCTTTTCCCCTCCAGGTCTTATAGAGCTCAATGGTTTGACTTGGCTTATGAGTTCCGCACATTTGCGAACTCAAGAACATCGCTCAAACGACGGTCAAGTTGTTTAAAGAAAACAAATGTTTTCTTTAAAGGACACATGCAAGCTAGAAGACAACTTTATTTTATTGTAATGCCTATAGCGTGAAAATAAGACGTACCAAGTTTCAAAGTCGTCCGCGAAATATTTAAAAAGATATTTAGGGTTATAATCGGTAAAAACACGATATTAGATGACCATTGCTAAAACGCCGAGAGATTTTTTAAGTCTGGGAACTGGGAAAGAGTGACGTATTAGTTGACATAAACAAGCATCGTTCTTATATCATTCTACGACTTGCACGCAATTCTTGCACGGCTTTCGGTAGTTTGCTATTACTGTTTTTTATTTAACAAAAATTAATGGATTCTTCTGAAGAAGAAGCCGATTATGATATTGTCATCAATAACAATGAGGTACAACCTTACATGTTTGAGCCTTTGGCCAACGCGCAAGGTGGTCATAGTAATGAATACAATTCAATACAATTCTTCGTCATCGGAAAGCGAAGATAAATACATTCACAGAATTGGAAATGTTGAATGGTTAGTTGCATTTTATTGATGCTTCATTGTTTTTCCCAAAGTAGAAAGAATGTTTTTATCTTTTAGGTGCGAGTGTGGCTTTTGTGTGGTCATGAGTACAGGACGGGAAAGTATATGTTTCCAAGAGGTAAACAACACTGATCCTCTGATACATGGCGATCATATTTGCATCACACAAGAGGAAGAGTTTGCCACAGTATGTACAAACGAAGCTGTCTTAAAAACAGCTATGGTCGTGTACACACATGACATTGGACCTATGCCTGAGAGTGAAGAAAACGAGTAAATATTACCTTAGAAGTGTAATGACGTGTATGTCGACAAGTGTATAATGCCGATAAGTATCTTAGACAAAATTTTGTATCGTTCAGAGCATTACGCTACACGGCGTACCGACAGTGGCACGGCTTGGTGGACGGCTTGGTTGCATTGTCATTGTCGGATTCTTCATTTTCGCTTAACTCATTTGAACATTGAGAGTCTGATCCATTGTTGCTATTGCTCATCGTCGACGTGCTTTCTGTATCAGTCCATACAGCGCTATCCTCAAAATGTTCAATTTCACATGACGTCGTCTGTGTGCTGTGATTTTTTTGTTGAAATGAACTCAACCTCCGTACCTTAGCATAAAATTATCGTATTGCTGGATTTTTCACAAAAATCAAAACGGCCGGAATGGAAAGTCTATACCTCTACTTATCATATTTGGCACTTTTGTTTGAGTGGTTCTTGACCTTACGTGTTTTTGCGGACGGATTGTTATGGCTGCTTGGCATTTCACATTGCGCTTCTAAGGTACGTTAAGGAATTTTTTATGAGTTAAAATAACAAAGAAAAGATCAAACGACATTAGTCTGAATTAGTTACCACTGTATATGTTTGTGTTTCGCTGTCTACATATATTTTGACATCATTCATCTTAGACAAACTTCCTTTGAGGTAAAACGCACAAACATTTCGAGCCGATGTCGACACATCGTGGTCGTCGTCTACAAGAAAGTCGTCATGTTCTGCAAGAACGTCGTCAATAATCTAAAATTATAAAATTGTCTTCAATTTGGTAATGCTATATAGCTTAGTTTTTGATAAATGTAAAAAAATATTGCTAACTATAACTATAATATTCACCTCTTGCCTTCGTCTCTTCTCAAATGCAGTTCTAACAATTGTTGGCTGCTTCCTTTTAGATGCTACACTTGTGGGTTCCACAGAGTATTCAAACATCGTGGGTACAGCATCCTTCTTAAGGCGAAGCCGTCCTGCTGTCCATCCTACTGATTGCATCGCTTCAAAATTTTGCACGAAGCACGAACTCTCGAAATGTTGCGAGCACAATTTTGAGCTCTTTGTTGGCTTCCAATTTTTGCGTCGGATTTTTTCAATCCAAATATCTCGCATGCGCTTGTTTTCTTTTGCTGCGTTTCGTGGTTCTTAGAAGAACCGTTTTTTACAATTAAATGCGGCACAATAATCCATATTTTCAATGCTAAATTGTCGTGTTGTTAAGAAGTTACCAATATATTTTGAACGAAGCGCGCATTTGTCCGCGTTTAGCGAATGTCAACTATTACGTCACAACGACATCGGTAGCTGTCGCTAGCTCGTCGGGCATTTTCAATACGTTATCAGTAAAGCATCAACTTTAAACCTCCATATCTTCAAAAATATTTATCCTTTGAGTCTCAAACTTTGGTGAACTGTTAGTTGGAGCTATACCTTCATGTAAAGTACAAAAACAACAATCCGAATTTTATGTTGCATGTGTCCTTTAACTTTCCACTTTTTGATTACCACAAAATTGGACTCACGTGTATAAAAAATCGCAAATAATAATTTGACTATTAAAATGGACGAGTTTGAGAAATATTTTTGAAAGAAATGGCCAATATGTATAAGGGTAATTTTTGCGCATTTATTAGTAATTTATATGGACGCCATGCGTGACCACGCGCTCGGCCCAATATTTTTGCACCCCCTGCAATATGGCGGCGATAACCTTGAATAGGTCTATTCGCAGCCATCTGACTTCCAAAAAGCTCAAATCGTGTTATTAAGGTATTTCTAATAGCTATCCAAGACTTTCACGTCTGCAATCCTTTCACTACTTCTGTTGGATGATCTAAAACACAGCAATGGCGACCACTGAGCAAGCGGTAATGCAAGCGGCAAACGGAGCAAGCGGCAAACAGATGCAAATGTATCGCTTTAATTTGGTCAACGTTCCTCGTGATGCTTCGGGGAATTTAAACATTTTTTATATGACGCCGCCACATCAACGAACCTTTTGCCGTATCGCTAGAATCTTTACCATTCCAGCCAAATTTTTCTCATCACACGCGTCTCGATACACGAGTTTTCCTTCAACCACATTTGGGGAAATGATCTCTAAAGGATCATTAAATGCTGGTTAATACCTTTAAAATCTGTCGCTTTATAATCTCAGTTTCGTGGCATTCAAGCTCTACAAGTACCTCGAAAGTATCTCGGCGCTTGTTTCATTTATGGCCCAAGAACTTTGTTGAATTAACTTACGTGTAAAAGTCTGCAATGCTCTACTTTGAATTCTTAAGTTCCACCTCGTTACCACCCGGTAACCATGGTTAAATTTGCCTTACCCAAGAATTACATTTTAATCCAAGGTCAATTTACATTGCTCCAAGTGTTAACCCTCGGTCAAAACAAGGGTTAACTTCAACGCTCCTGGCTAGGTGGGTTAAATTACTTAACCCTTCGTTAACATATTATTTTCATAAATAACACCGTTTAACATTGAAGAACAAGACTAGGTTAGAACACTTTGTATGGCAGACATTCAAAAACAATCTTACAAGGTTTACTTATTTTATGAAAAAACGACATCAACATTTCACTTGCCGTACTTCATGCAACTTTCCACAGGAAACAGGAACAAGCCACTGTAAATTTGAGTTATGAAAGTGCAAGAAATAAATCGTCAAAAATGTGTCGCCTGGAAAACAGAACTCGCTTTCCGAGTCTTTTTCTTTCGACAAGTATTTGCAATGGAAAGAAATGGGCCACCGAAAAAGACAATGAACGCTCATCATTTCACGAGAAGTAACACTTGCCATGCGATAAAGTTAGTTATTCTTAGGCGCCTCAGGAAATATCTACCTGCCCCCGAAAAAGTCCACACCGGCCAAAATTCCAAGAAAATATGTCCACATGTTCGTAATTCCCCCCATTTGAAAGAAGTAATGAAAAACTTCAAATGCAAAAAATATGTATTTCTTACTATAAATAACTGAGTAAATATTTACTAACAAGGTTAGTTCCTTTCTTTGCGTTTTGCCAATTACGGAGTACATAAGTCACAAAATAGTTTGTCGTTCGTTTAGCCGTTTTGAAGACGTTTTCTAAAGACGTTTGTGAAACACGAACTACGAAGGAACAGTGAGATTGCTGAATGGTTTGTAACGCGGATAGTGTTTGTGAATGTTTCGGTGAAACGAGTGGTTCATTCATTCCTTTGTATTTTTGTGTTTTCAGAGTCATTAGTTTTATTACTACCAGTTCTTTGTTAGACGCGTCAATAACAACATTTTTGCCAACGTATCATTGCTAAAGTGTGATAGGCATTTGATGAAATTTGATGAAATTTATTGATCTAAATTATATTTGTAATATCTTAAGCTGCGTTTAAACTGTACCGGATTCGCTCATAACGACATCTTCATTTGCTTTTAAGGGGGATCTGTTCGGAGTAAAAGCTTATACAGTTGATAGATTTAGTCAGGGACGTCGCTACTGGAGGGTGTGGGGAGTGTAACACCCCCCAATTACAAATTGAAACAAAAAACAGTTAAAAATAAGGTAAAAGTCAGGTGCTAAACTATTACTATACTGACATAAACATATTTATCATCAACTTAGATAATTTGATATTAGAAAAATGTCTGGTACGATAACGAGTATGACTTTTCCTCCAAATCAGTTTATCTTACGATGTAAGTTTATAGAGTGTGAGCAGTGATCCCAAAGGTCAAAGAAAGTAATACGTTTTATTATACGCAACTTTAAGTTATTGCGCATGCGTTTGTTGCCATTCTTAAATTACTGGCATGTAACAGGTATGACAAAGCAATTTTTTGATGCTAGTTAAAAATCATCATGCAAATTTATCTTTAATAATAAAATACGAAAAAGAAACAATAGTTAGAGTACAAAACTGACTGTGATATGTTATACTTTGCTCTATACTTACTCAGTATAAAATACATAAACAATTGATACTTTGTAGAAAGTAGACACAAAGTAAACAAAACATTCAATCATTTCTACGTTTCGAGGACTACGCCTAAGTCATCTTCAGTGATAAAAGTATATATTTCTTTCCAGAATGTTGTTTATGGGAGTATCTATAACTGTTTTACGTCATGCCTTTATTTTCAGTGAATGCACGGCTAGCCTCATCCCGACATAGGGGCTAGCTAAGGTCCGACACAGGGGAACTGATTAAATGGCTCAATTGATCACGCGCAAAGTTGTTGCTTTAAATTATCAATCCCTGCTTATAAGATATCAGTAAATCATAGTTGGTTTGGGAAACAATAATTTACACCTATAAAATTTATCAACATGGTGTACATGAAGTAATAGACTATCTGTTAGCACGTAAGACGTACGAAATGGAGGGTAAGGGAATGCAACAGTCTTTTAAGTTTTAAAAACTTCAAAAAACCTGGGCAAAATAGTCGAGGAAATAAGGAAAATTGTGCATAAAGTCATGTATTTCCTCATAAGACGTATAAATCTAAAAAATGTTTTTGTAAAGTAGAAAGTTGGTATGGCAATAAGTCCTTTGATTTCACTTCATTTCACTTACGTTGAAAATTTAACCTGCTACGCTAGTAATTCTGTATAGTGTATACGGGGCGTTAGATCACCTTGGGTCTTGGTTTAAAGTTTCACCCATTTTTGACGTTGAGGTAAAAGTTTTGTAAGGCAGGCCAAATTTCCGAAGAGAGGGACAATTTTCCGAGAAGGGGGGAACTTTTCTTAAGAAACATGGCCTTCAGGGGTACAGATTTCCCAGGAAATACAGCCCGCGGGGATCAGATTTGGAGGATTTAACTTACCCATTGGCCAAACTTTTGTCACCACAAAACACAAATTATTTCAACCAAAATGAGTCAGAAAACTGCATGGGAAAATTCGATGATATAGACCGGATATAATTAAACTATACTAGATATAAATTCATAAATAGTGTGTAACAGAAATATACACAATGTATCTGTGATAATCCATATGAAACAAAAAGAATAGAATCTTATCTGGCGTCATTGAGTCTACCTATCTACCAGGCATCTTCAAAAGAAACTTTCACATTTACTGTTGCTTGCACTCGGGTGGATTTTCCTGCAAATATTGACAATAATATAGCAAACTATCACCACTGTAAAACTATAGATAGGCGCAAGCTGGAACTATCTAATGGTTTCGCGCACAATATGCACAAATAGGTTAAACCTGAGTCTGCCACACACGAGCTAAAAACTTACTCGTGCATGTCATCAGCTGAATTATTAAGACTAAGCAAAGTTATTCATTGTGACTAATTTCAAATCTACTATAACCATCTCCATTTATAATGGCACACTATAAATAAAAAATTGAAGACTTAGTGCGCAGGAAAATACATTGTTGATAGAAGGATATACTACCTGAATGCAGCAGGGTACAACCAAGCTTCAAGGCAAATTTTTGCGGGTAAACACATTAACCCAGGTTAAAACTGGTTTAACTTTTCCCATTTCAAGAAGTGGTGGTGTTTAAATGCAAAAAAGTCAACCAAGGTTAATTTGAACCTGGTTACGTATATTGTGTGAATTGGGCTTAGTGTGACGAGCTTTTGTTATAGGGTTCTCAGCTTAGCCTTAAGGAGCATGACGGACAACATAGCAAAAGGCATTGTTTCTGTACATACTCTAACATAGCACGAAATTTTATAATGAGAATAACTCCAGATTTTCAACAAAATCCTACATTTTTGAAACATAAAACAGCGTTTGTGTCAAACACAATCTGACAAAAGCAACGTTTATTGAGTTGTAGGTAAAGTTGTTTTGAAAAAACAAGAATCTGGTTCACTTTGTAAATCGGGTTGAAGCAAAATCTTTTTGCATCGGTTTCTCCTGAACAGGATAATTCTCAGTGATTTACAAACTTCGTTTCTTGAGGACGCATTTTCTGTTCTCTAGATACAATTCCAGATGTACGGTTTGATGAGCACAAAGTCAATTTCATTCTTCATCGGTTTGTGATTTTCTTTGTTTTCATTACATCAAGATGGATTCATACCGGGGAGAGGAACGACGGATGCATGTTTTGTGTTGAGGCAGCTGCAGGAGAAATTTTTGGAGAAGGACAGAGAATTGTATATGGTGTTTGTAGATTTGGAGAAGGCGTTTGATAGAGTTCCGAGAAAGGTGATCGAGTACGCGCTGCGTAAGAAAGGTGTGACAGAGAATATGGTTCGGGCAGTTATGGAGACTTATGAAGGTGTAGAGGCGGTGGTTACGGAGGAAGGTGTTAGATCTGGTGTTTTTGAGGTAAAAGTTGGTGTTCATCAAGGTTCAGTCTTGTCGCCGTTACTGCTTTGCTTGTGTGATGGATGTACTGACAGAGGAAGTGAGAAGAAAAGAAGGATGCTGGTGTTTGTTGTATGCAGATGACATTGTCTTGGTGGCGGAGTCGAAGCAGAAAGTCATGGAATGGTACCAAGAATGGAAAACGGCAATAGAAGTCAAGGGACTGAAAGTGAATGAGGCAAAGACGAAGGGCATGAGATGCTCGAGGCAGGTGGAGTGAAGGACAGTGATAAATAAGCCATGTGGTGTGTGGGAAAAGAGTTGGAGGAATTGATGTGTGGAAATGCAGTAGGTGGGTTCATGGAAGATGTTCAGGTGTCCGTGGTGCATTGACAAGAGTAACTGATTTGGAGTGCGGGACGTGTCGAAGTGGTGGGCGAGTCGCGATTGAACGGTTTGAACTGGGTGACGTGAGTTTGGAAGGTGTATCGGAATTTAAATATCTGGGCGATGTGTTAAATGATGGTGGAGGGTGCGAGCAAGCGGTGAGGAACAGAGTTCAAGCAGCGTGGTGGAGTTTTAGAGAGTTGTCGGGAATGTTGTGCGGAAAGTCGACTTCTTTGAAGCAGAAGGGAGAATTGTACAAGGCATGTGTTAGAAGTGTTTTGGGATATGGAGCAGAGTGTTGGGCGCCGAAAGCAGAGGACCTGAGAAGATTGGCGTCGACGGAAAGGAGAATGCTTAGATGATGTGTGTGTGTAACGTTGATGGATAGGATCTGAAGTGAAGAGATTAGAGAAAGAGTTGGTGTTGAGTGTATCGAGAATTGGGTAAGGCGCCAGCGTTTGAGGTGGTTTGGGCATGTGGAAAGGAGGAAGAAAGTGCTGAAATTCGTAGAACGTTGCATATGAATGTTGATGGAGTCCGCAAACGAGGTAGACTGAGAAAAGAGATGGACGGATGCTGTGAACAGTGATATGAAGGCGATGGGTATAACAAGAGATATGGCGAGATAGAGTTTGGCGTGGAAAAATTCATGGACTGGTCAACTTTCTGGCGGGATTAATACTGGCCGGTATACAAATGTTGTTTGTTTGTTTGTTGTTGTTACATCAAGAGATTCACATTAACAATATCGCAATACAGATTGCACTCGCAGGGCAATCTAGTTTACCCAGGAGTACATCAAACTGCTTTGCTAATGGGTACAAAATGATTTCGTCATTGTTTGCGCTTTTTGACATCTACTCTCTTGAATAATGCTTTTGTGCTCGAAGAATGCATTGTTTATAATAACATATGGTTATAAGTCGCATCTAATAGAATTGACTTAATTACATTTTACCATTTGGATGATGCCACTTGCCTGAGATTTAAAAAGACTGCTGAGAAGAGTTCAAAAAATGTTTTACAGTGTAACGATAAATATGCTGTGATCTTGAAGATTGTTTCCCGTACATGTGTTTTTCAAGAGTTTTTGCATTAACACACCGTTACATACGTGGCTTTACTTCTTAGTTCTTACAGCACTTCACCTTGCTTTCGCTGGCAAATTTCTCCATTTGGCTATCAAGAAAGGCAGATTTCAGTCAGCTATTATTGTAATCTTAAATGATGCACATATTAATTATGAGCTTCCATCGCTCTTAAAAGGAATCTGATTGAGAAACATGGAAAAGTATGAGTGATCACATGTGTTAGTGAGAAAGGAAGATTTACTGAGATCATTCACAACTATCACTACAACGATTATCCTCATCAATTAATTTGTCAACAGTAAAAACTGTTGAATTGATATAATGATGCTGTGAATCGATATAATGATGATTACAATGTTTGATATTTGGATTGTTTCTACCAGAAAGACACTGCAAAATGTTTCAAAGATGTGTCAATTTAATAATTTAAATCATTCATTTTGTACGGCGAAAATAGTACACATACATCAAGTGAACTCATTTGCTCATTACAAACTTGATTCATGATTCAACTGAATAAGTCTTGAATTTTTTCTGATCAACGATGTTTATCCATACAATTTTCTATTTTAGCATTTTGTGTCATGCCATGAAGGCACCCAACTCTGTCATATTTCGAGCACGTAATTTTTTTCTTTTTGCTATCCACAAAACTGCGTTCTCTTCACAAAAGCATGCTGAATCACCATCATCAAAGCAACACGATAAAGTGATTCTTCTATGGCCTCAGCCATTATACTAACCTCATAAAGGCTTTTTCTAGTTGATATGCATGAAAACTAAAGTTCTCCATTATGCCAACAGTTATAGCCTAACTTTTAACAGTCACTCATTTTCATTAGCCCACGCATCTCCCTTTCTTCCATTTTTCAATACTTACTTTATACAGTTTAAACTGCCAACTTTATTCTTCATGGCGTGTTCACTGCACTCTTGTCTGTTTGGTATACATTGTTCACCATATTATGCTTTCCACAACAGCTTGTGTTTCTACTGTCAACAACAGCTTTTACTTGACGTACTGTAAAACAAGCTTCATGAAGCATCCATGCAAGGATTAACTATCTTCGACATCACTCAGATCATCTTCAACTCTTTAAAAATATAGGCCTTGCATTTGGGATAGCAACTTAAATATCTTTTTCTTCCTTCTCTTTCGCTCATACTGATTGATACTTTCGTTCCTTTTTGATGTTAAAATGAATTAACATTCATTTTTGTACAGCAGTATAAAGTGAAGAGGTTTCTGTTTTTGACAAGTTTTGCTCATGAATTTGCACATGAAAAGCCAGGCAGAGAGGCAGTGACAATAGCAGCATCAAGCACACGAAGAGTTGATTTATACGCACGCTTCTAACTGATCACTGCATTGAAAAAAGGTTTACGCTTTACAATTACATGGTAATGCTAAAAATTTATAGTACCTTTGTTGACTATTCTCTCCAAAGAGAAATGGAAGAAAAAATGCACGACTAAGTGGTCCCTCAGTAGGTAATGGCAGGAACTATTTAAATACTTTTATCGGCGTCATGTGTAAATTACTTTACACTTTCTGTAACTTGATATTCAACCGTTACATCGCTATTTATAACCAAATTGACCAGAAAATCAACAGGTAAACTCGATATTAACTTTATATCGTTTTAAGTGTGTTAAATGTCTATATTGTTAATAAACTATTAAGTGTACATCCTTTAAGAGTTTTAAAGTGTACAACTTTATATGTGTACTGCAATAAATAAGAAAAGTAGAGCTGCATGGCTAAAACTGCAAGATGCCTTTAAGTCATCATTAGACCACGAAGTGATTGTTAGTCAATTGTTATAAAATGAAACACAATGACAGTTTGTATGAAAGGCCTCACGCTACTGCTAAATTCTTTGAAGCATAAATAACAATTGGGCTTTTATACTTTTCTGCACATATAGCCTGGCTTTGCATTGTATACTTTTCTTGGAGTAAATAGTTAACTTGCACAAATTAAAACACATGTAGGTGAAGTTAAAATGGACTAAAAAAATACATGTACAGTTGTCAGCTTTAGACGCAGTGGGCATACATTCTCGGAATATTGTTCAATGTTCATATAGTCGATTATGAGGACTATAATTTCGTAATTTTTCCTTGGCTTCATCAAAATTATTGCAAAAAAATTTCATAGCATGTTGCATTTGGTCTCCAATTGTTCTAAATTGTGGCTGTATAGTAACGCACAGCAACGCTTGACGAAAACCAGCTTTACTTTTTTCAGGTTCAATCTGAGTTTTCCTTTGATAGAGCGGTAACGTGATGTCAAACGGTTTTTGTGCATTAGCAAATACTTTGCACGTTCGCATATTTACCTATTAGGAACCATCAGCCATTTGTACAATCAAAATAATTATTTCATAAAATCGATTAATCAATGTTGTTACATTACCCTAACCTTTTAAAGCTATCGTTGTAAACCATGTTGGATATTAATCACAATATTTCAAAACGGAAGTGGAAACTTTGCGCAAAGTTTACTGCATTCAATCGCATACAGTATTCGCTAAACTACATTAACAACACGAAATCTGTTGCTCTAAAGTTTCAAAGGCACAGGAAGTTCGCATTACGTCAGGTGAATTATTTCAATGTATGTGTTTCCATAAATAAACTTCTATAGAAAAAATTACTTAACTTGCATTTCGCTATTTTGACGTCTTTAAACGTCAAACTCAACAATAAATGAATTAACTAACAAAGTGCACCAACCTCCGAAGGTTTATAATCTGGATCTTCTTCATCATCTTCATCTCGTTGCATATCATCGTCGTCGTCGTCATCGTCATCATCCTGATCGTTCAAAATATAAAGGAATTTAAGTTTAGTAAAAACTGGTATAGTTACTGTATGCATTGTAATGTAGAGTGCAAATATTTTTTGTTAAAGAGGTTAGTGTCTTTAAGTAAAGTAATTCATTCATTCATTCGTTTAACTAGTTTATCAATTGAAAGAACGATAGAACAATATAAGCCTGGTACACCATTTTGTCGTAAAAAAAAGAAAGACAAAAAAGAAAAGAGAATTTTGTCATGTACGTTGACGTGGTTGATAGGCACGAATGTCTCTAGCTATATATATTCTTGTTTTATCATGTAAATTTAAGTAAAATATGTAGGCGCTAACATCTCGAAAGGAAAACGAGGTTTTAAGATACAATTTTAAACAACCTCTTCGTCAAGTCGTCAAACTAAAAGAGAAAAAGAGAAAAACGCTTATTGAATGCATGATTAGAAGCTAGAGAGAAACTTCAACAGGTAAATCGTTAAATAATTTTCATCACCTCGTCCAACGCTTCCCCAGTAAAAAACAAAACAGCCTAAATGACAAAAAAAATCATCTAGAACAAGTGCAGATACCACGGAGCAATTCATTGGAGGAATGAGAAGATGCCATCTTTCCAAAATTAAACTCTTAAATTGAATGTTGATTGCATGAATGCTAAAGAATATTTTGCAGACAGCATTATACCCTTGAGCAGGTGCAATAACGGCCTTCGGTCTCGAGCTTGCACTGATCTGCTCACGAGTTCTCCCGAAGGTCTCATCGGTTTGTAAGCCTGTGCAAACACAGTAAACATCTTTTATTTCTAAAACGAATTATTGCTGAGCGTAATTGCATAAATAGCTATAGTTAGATCAAGGCAATTTACGTTTTCCACCGCAAGACTTTATAATGAGCAAGTGACAAATTTCCCAGATATTATGATAAAATTTTACGATGAGAAAAGTTCTCAAATCAAGAGAATTCAAAATTATCAAAAAATAAAAAGGTGAAAATAAAGGTCAAAAATGTGATTAAGATACGGAGACGTGAATGGCCATATGTATTTGGCGTCAAATTTATTGTGGAGATGTTTTGCCGGTGAGAGTCAGGATTAGAGATAGGATTCAAAATAAAATGAAATAAGAATACCTTGGAATAAGCCTCTCACGAAAGTAATGGCCTATCTCAAAATCAGATTCCAACAATTGCTCCATGTCTTCATCCTAAAGAAAGAATATGAACAAACATTGAACATTTGACAAATAATAGTTCGTTGAATACATAATCATTAAAAATTAGCAGGCAGCGGGCTACAATCCCCATCCTCTTTCTATTTCCACTGTCCACCACATTTAAAAAGTTATGAAGAAATTTCTTTAGATGATTAGTTTTCGGTATGTATAAATTATGTATAAGATAAATCAGCTATCTTTCAATTTATGTATGCATACCATTTCTCCATCTTCAGGAACTGCAAAAGATAAAATATTTTAAAACACATTAATACCATTGATATGTATATTAGACTGATAACGCATCTCTTGTGAAAATTGAAGCCGGAAGTTCGGTCATTTGCTACTGGCTTCATGGGGTATCGGTCCCACTTTACTATACTTTGTATACAAAATCACAGCCGCTTTTATTCCTTTTACAAACTTCAGATTAAGGCAAAATTTTCACGAGATGTACAGGAAACTGGTAGAGAATTTTAACCCTAAAGCTCTGTTTTCTTGGCTTTGTAACGACTGAAAAATAAGATGGCAAGTTGTATTGAAATTTGAATGTTGAAGGTGACGAGGACAATTTCTGTTGTGCGAGGCATTTTAGAAAATAAATACTTAAATTACAACAGCACGAACAAAGGTATTCACATGTTCAATATATTCATCGATATTGAAGTTGATCATAAAGTAACTGGTTGAAAACTTTGCTTCGCTTAATGACAACAGAGCATATTTTGATGATGTACGTCTTGTAGAGTTTGATGATACCGTTTTCAACTTACTATTGTTCATCAACATGTCTTTCTGTTTATTTTCTATGTCGATTTGTTTTGTTTCTTCACTGATATAATAAAGACGTAATTTGAAATTATTATGATATTAGCGATGTGAACAAAGTATAATAATAATATTTTTTGTTATAAGTTCTTAATACTTATTTTTCTTTTCCTTTTTTGTAAATATTTTATAATTTTGTAACTAAATCATAATCCTATTCATTGTAATTAATTTATTCATATCATATTACGTATCATATTACTTAACACTAACCATTCTGCACTGAAGATGGCATTCTGATAATGTCGAAACATGTTTACTTTCAAAAAATCGTCGTTTTCTCAAGTGTTTTTTAGAATAACAAAGTGTTGTTAAAAAAGTAAATTTGTAACAATCTTCCATAAACATCATTGCAGATGAAATTTTAGTAGCAGTAGTAGGATTCTGTAATTTTTCCACATTTATTAAGAAGCACCAGCATCATATAATCTCCAGTTTGTTTCAAAACAATTCAGGTCGACCTTGTACCATCTCAATTTTCTGCCATTATAAAGCCATGAAGACAAACTTTTTAGAATTATATATCTTTGCCGGTCGTTTTGTCCCTTTCATAAAATTTTGCTCGAATCAAAGTTTGTAGAACGAATAAAAACGCAAAAACTGTGATTTTGTAATACAAAAGAATAATAAAGTGGGACCGATGCCCCCCCACGAAGGTCATAAGCAAATGAGCCAACTTCCTGCTTCAATTATCGTACTATATTTTATACATGGTGCGTTATCCAGTGTAATATACATATCAGTGATTAATACACAGTACATATCAGTGATTAATACACAGTACAAAAATTCCATCTTAATGGGCTTTTTGGGCCTAGAAGTAGGTGACCTCGCGCTGGAAGTGACGTAATAAGGAGAAAAAGCAGTTCGAGTTTTCAGCGTTTTGTTCTATTATTCGCTCAAAAGATGTTGTCAAACTATACACATATGCACACATTTGTTCTGCAGGTTTTTAAGAAGTTTTACTATAACAGCTTTATGTTTTACTATAAACCTGTATAATGAAAGCTATATCTTCAATGCATGTGTTCTCCTTTTTACATCACATCCTTTGCGAAGTCAATCTACACTTATAGGCAACAAAAACCAATGAAGATAAAATTTTCGATGTATAAAATATATTATAAATATTCTTAAATTCAATTTAAGTATCTAAAAAAGTTATTTCCTCACTCTGGTAAAACCATCTGTTAAAATACAAATTTTACACATGCAATAATCGAAAAAGATTTTATAAACAATACCTTCGGGTGGTGCAAAAAAATTAAAGAACGAATCGTTCTTGACGGTTTTATTGACGAATTTTGGTTGTCCTTTTCCTGTCAAATTTAACATAAATTTACAGATCTAAAACGAGTGGTGGATCTAATGTAAGTCAGAATACATTAAAAAATTTACTTTCAAAATTCGAAAAATTTATGAACCATATCCCAGATACGATCTCATAGAATCTCATCTTCAACTGACAGAAATATTTAAAAAACATTTAAGAACTAGAGATCCAAGGATAGTGCAAAGCTTCTTAGAAAAAATGTTTCTAAACATGGCAAATAAAATTAGTTTGAAGAAAGCTTAGTATCGAACCTTAGCGTTTTAAAAAAATGCTAAACTGAAATTTATTTCGAGAAGTGCTTATCAAAGGCTAAGCAGTTTGTTTTTTGACGAATAGCTAAAAATTTCTCCAAGATTGCATTAATAAATGTTAAGCTCTGGCCAAACGAGCGCAACATTTTCAGCCAACACCATCCAACTTTGTTGGAAGATGTTGTACGTTGTTGTGCCCTACTGGTTAAACGAAAACAACATTTTATATCATTGATGATTAAACATTACGCAATTCGAATAAATATGGCGGCCACTAATTTTGAAATTCATCGATATCACAAAATTTCTCGCTGTGCAGCTGCTTTATGTGTAGTAGAACTTCTACAGGAAAACAAAAGAGGTTGGATAAGAGGAAAACAAGACCATGGATGAAGAAAAGAAAGGAAAAGGGCTATTTTACCAACATTGTTAAGGAATTAAGGATGGAGGATACCGCAGGATATAAGAAATGATGCGAATGAGCTATGACGACTTTCAAACGTTATTACGATATATTGAAAAAGTCATAAATCGACAAAGTCATACAGTTTCTGACAAAGTCATATAGTACATGACTTTCTTATATTGTTCGAAAGCAATCCACAACTAATGCTTTCTTCATGGACAGTAATAGTGCACTTTATTTCTTGTAAAATATTCCTTACCGAGGCTTTCGAATTCAGACCAATTCACCAACACGTAGTGTATGAGTGTAGTTAGATCAGAAGTTCAGAGCAGGTTGCTAAATAATCAGCGCTAGCCAAGTACTTAGTAACTACAGCAATACGGTGAATTAAATACCAATATTCTTTACATTCTATATAAACTTGTCGCACAAAATGACGCATGCGCATTTAGATACTTCGCGAACAAAACAAAATTGGACTTAAAATTCATGAAATGTCACTAAACATGGAGAGACGACCGTATTTCGTTTATCTAAGACATTCATAATTGATGTTTGTGATATATATAACGAAGCTTATACCTATATAATATCTAGTATATCTAATGTTTAAATGGTGATAAATATGAACAGATTATAGCATCCATTTAATTTTTCTCAAAAAGCAATCTTAAAGGTGGCCTTTAGAAGACACACTGTTTTGTTGAACAAAAACCTTCAGCATATAATTTACTAAATAACATGGACAACAAAGTCGCATATTATTTACCTTTGTGTTTTTGTTTCTTTTTGATAACTTTAACGGTGACATTTTTGCCTTTCTTCCAGTCGATCGCACACCTAATGGTCAAGATGACATCAAACTTTAGGTACAAAATATGCGCGTTGCATTACATTAGGTTAATGGGATAAAGTTAGAGGAGTTTAGTTAGAGGGGTATGGTTAAAGGGGTAAAGATTGAGGAGTGAGAATAGAGAGTTGGGGAAAGAGGGGTGGGGAAAGATTGAGTAAGAGGAGTTAACTATGAGTGTATTTGCTTTAGAAATATTTTGATTGATGACGTTCAAATGACCAAATTGACAATTACGTACATGTTATCAGCATAACGGAAATTGAGCCAGGGAGTTTCATTCCATGTTTGTAGATCTAGAACGTCCAGATTGGTAGAGTCCTGAGAAGGATTGTTGAATTTGATGACCGACGTTTGGGCAAGCAAAACTTTACTTGACCCTGAAGACGACTATCGTTAAGGTTGTCCAAACATCATCAATGAACACAAATACAAACAGTCTTGCTCAAAACTCTACCAACCTCGAGCATTTACATCTACAAGCATACGTAGATTGGAAATTTTTCTCTATTTTCATACTCATGTATAATAAACAAACTCAACCAGTTTTTAAGCATTAATTTGAAATAGCGGTACAAAAAAAAATGCAAGACTTAAAAACCCGAATTGTTCATGATAAAATTAGACATTAACAAGAAAACAGTTTCGATCTCATATACCGTGCCAAATAAACACAAAGATGAAGGATAAAATAATAAATTATAAAGTTACTTGGTATACAACTTAATATAAAACACGGATATATGCTCCCTAAATTGATCGCTCTTTAAAATTACTAATAAAGAAAATATGTAGAAATAAATGTATAATCACCCAAATGTGCTAGAGATTTCTGGTCCTTCAAAAGCAAACGGCAAATCTTTATCGATTTCACAGGATAGCTTATACGTTTTCGTCAAAACCTTGAAAATGAAAAATGCCAAAATCTTCAAAAACATATTTTTGTTAATATTAAACTGAAATAGAAATGCATGACAAGTTGTTACCAAAATTCAATTCCAAAGTCAAACATTTCATGCGCCACGAGTTTTTTTTTTCTTTTAATGTGTTTAGAACGTGAAACGCGAGGGAGGAGAGAGAAGGGTGTAATATTCGTGACTCGAGATTAGAAATTACGCAATCGACAGTCAGCATGATATCACGTATATACACTACGTAAACAAACTCGTCCTTTTTTAAACAAAGTGTATTCTTTTAAAGAAAATAATTCAAATACTTAAAAATAATTGATATATTAATTCTTGTGAGTTTTGAGCATATCGTACGAAAGGAAAGCATAACATATTTAGCGAAAAAAATCTAAATTCGTCAACGACACATGATATACGTAATTACGTAAAGCTGATTCAAATCCTTAAAATGTTTATGAAACCAAATTTTACCATGAAATTTTCTGCAATGTAAAGATGGTTTAAAATTATCTAATAGCTATATTCCTCAATCGAGCTCATGACTTACCATTAGCATTGGCAAATAATACAATTTTATAGACAGTCAGCATTGGAATATTTAACTATGGCACCTTTACAAATAGTCATCTTTATACATCTTCATTAAACTGTTGTCTTCATGCATAAAATTTTCTTACAAAAATTGATGATCTTTAAATTGTTAACTTAAATATCGCATGGAAAAAGTAAAATAGGTCAATTTTATACTAAGGAGTTCACAAAGTCATTTCAAATAGTCTTTGTAATACAACCAAATGATTCGGTTACAAAATTTCTTGTTATAAACACTTTAATGAAGGCCACTAACCATAGGAGTTCTTCAATTTAAAAGCAGTTTGCAAGTTCTTACGTGTTGTTGAATTTTCAGCAAAAGATATCAAACTGCAGAAACTTAAAAATTTCAACTTACAGAATTGTTGAAATATGCGTTGGGAGCAAAGTGAAATTCCAAGACAAAACCCTAAAATGCAGGAAAACGTCAGTGAGGAAATGTCATTAAATTTTTTTTAATGACAAACGCATATAATCTGATAAAGGAGGTTGCATTGAAACCTCGAACGGAAATTTTCTTGGTGCAGTAAATTGCAAAAAGAATCAATCTAGAATTTGATTGCCAAGCTACGTCGTTCCACACACCATATCTTTTCTTTTCATCGCACTCTTCGCTTTGTTCAGACGATTTCTCTTCATCAATGAATTTCAAAACAATATTTGTCAAACTCTTTAAAATTGGTTCATCGTGTTCCTAAAAAAACAAGAAGGTAAAATACGAGTTACCCAGACTTTTCCTACATCTTAAGATAAATAGTAGCCATACTACGTCAAAAGCAGTGAACTATACCATTTAAGAAGTCTTATAAAAAGTTGGGTTCTAGTACTTAGTAAACAAGTCATCTAGCATCTCGCAAGTAATACGAAAAATCCACAACAGTTTAAATGGTTCCATGCGCTAATAGCATATATTCAATTTGGGCCGGTTCGATGTTCGGGTGATATAAATGGCAGTGGCAAAGCCTTTGAAAAAAACTTCTACTAATAAAATGTTAATTTTTCTGAAAAATCTTCATTGATTTCAATGCTGAGAAAGCTAGCCACCAAATTGTTTTTGAAGTAAATGAAGTCAATATGCAAAAATATATTTGCATAATAGTAGGACTAAAGAAGACGCAAGTTCAGGCGTACGCTCGTGCTCAGGTGATCAAAATTTCCGTGTTTGGATGGAGAGATCAAAACAATCATGTAAGGAAAACACGAGCCATGTGTTTGTATCTAACCACCTATAACCATTACGTTCACAGTTTTATTAGAAAATAACAATAGGGTAGTGTTGCAAATATATTTAAAGAAGCGCACGAGTAAAAAAGGGTTGTTTTCGCGACAAATGGATGGACTCAAACTTAACTGTTAAGGGCCGTTCACATGATCCGGTTGTTTCGGTTCGGACTATTGGCTGCTTATTCAGACGGTCCGATAATTTTGTTGAGATTTATATTCGTTTGATATTTATAGTCATTTGAAAAGCCATTCGTGCTATTCAGCATACAATTATCGATATATTTTTCGTATTTTGTTCTTGTTTCCAAGTCTTTTCAAATCTATGTAATTAGGCTGGTCGGCCTCCTTTGATCTTGTCAGATGAAAATAGAGCAAGTTCTACAGTATTTCCATCCGATTTTTCAGACTGACGGATCCGACTGTCGGAGGCTCACTTTTACGCGTAAACACGATCCGTTTCTTAGGATCAAAAAAAATTGGATCCGACAAATCGGATAGTGTGAACGGGTCTTGATATGGGGCTGATTGCTAACTTTTACCTGAATCATGTCGGCAATATGTTCAATGTTTTTCATCGCTGTCAGCCAAAATTCAGGAATACCAGAGACATTTTCTGTTGGTAAAACATGAAAAATATTTCGTTAGTTCGATTCAAATGGCTGAAGAAATCGTCTAAAGTTACGATCGATTTGAATTAGGCCAAAAAAAAAATAGTTTGCATTTTAATCTTTGCAATAACTTCATGAACATTAACTCTTCGATAATTTTATTAAACCTCTTTTTAATTTTAGCCAAGAATTTTATTTTAATTGCCATTGGAAAATTCTGAAAGTGTGCACCATTACAGTGAACACAAATGCTTTTCCTTTGTAGATTAATATTTTGTGTGAGACTGGCCACCCTACTGCACTCCCTCTTGTCAATGGTAGGAGGGGGCAAACCTTTCCACACTCCATTACCAAAATTTGTGAAAATTGGACTTCGACGTCGGTTGTAAATTTATTGATATGTTTCAAAATGGCTGATATTTTTATTAGTCGTAATATCTCAACAGTTACACGATCTCACATATCAACAGCATCTCTACAGTGATTTTGAGCACTATATAGCCAAATTGAATAAGCACATTATCCGCCCGTTCAAAGTTTATGATAACAGATTTTGCCTATTTAATTCATGAACACGAGCCGGGATAACACACGAACTGTGGTGTAAAAGACAAATCTATACATGTGAGAATATATGATCAACTAGACATTTAAAACCTCTCGTCAATGTAAAGTAGGGAAAGCAAGTAATAAGCGTCTGGGCTGCCCATGGTGTCATAAAACTTTTATTTAGTTTAAAAAACAGTGCTCAAAAATAATATTTTTTAATCATAACTCGAGCAATTTGACAACATAGAGCAATTACATTTCTTTTTACCTGAAAGACTTTCCGATTCAGTTTTATTTTCTTCCAGCGTTGCTTTATCTTTCAGCTCATTCTGCTTGAAAAAAACGCAAATTGTCTCTTAAAATTGGAAATTATTTAGTGAACAAAATATAGGGCAAAAAAATGTACATTGAATGAAAATACTTAAAAGCGAAGTGTCAAATACATAAAACGTACTAATTGTACTTGAATGACCTTGCATATGCGATATAGAAATTCAGATTTCAGAACTTGGACTTTATAAAGAAGTTTTTCTTTTGTTAATTTTAATGTTACGAACAAACTTCAGAATAAGAAATATAGTTACTGCTATGGTAATGGCGAGCGACAGACCGTACTTTATACTTTAAATTTACCAATATATCAAATTACTTCAGCCGCAAAATGTCACTTCACTTGGTTTTTCTTATTATACATTCTTTAACTGTTAAGTGATCAACCAAAAAATTCTCACTGATAATTTTTCTTCGTTTTCCCATCCTCTTTTCGTCTTCATTTTCACTATGCCATTCACATTCATCTTCGGTGGTTCATATTTACCATTAATGATCGATTCTCGCTAACACGAATAAAAATACAACATGACCAACGAAAATCAACTCCATTTTGTACAGGTAATAGTATGGTTTCGAGTGCGGCAGCAATTACTCCTGTAAGTTATTATTATATCGACCGCTTTAGTCGGATATATTTCTCACAACACCGTAAGCTTCCAAACACGAAGCTAAAACAGAGTAGCTTCTTTATGTTTGTATTTTTATAAACGTTTTGCCAATCCTGTTGCAGTGCCAAAAACAGTGCAATTTATTTTTGAAAACTGTGCCCCGGGGCTGATTTGTTACTCAAATAAAGAAGTGGTCTAAGAGCCAATCAAAACAAAACATTTCAAAGGCGGAAAGTTAGCCACAACATTGTAAACCAGGCAATTACAATGGCTGGCTTAAATTTTAAGTAGATTTTTCTTTGACAACCGAGTCAACAGTTCACCCTTTGCAAGAAGTTTCTGGACATAAATACGAACATTGCTGAAAGTAAATTAGCTGTTCTAGCATAGCAGCGTGTGTGTGGAAGCTATGGTGTTGTCAACAAAAATATCTGACCAAATTGAGTAAAATACGGGCCAGTCGATATCAATGACTTGCCAGCTGAATTGTATGTACGCTAAAGTTAATAAATCAACTGAATTGAGATATTTTCGTGCATATTATTAATTGTCTTTATAAAATAAACACAATGAAACGCGTGCGCTACTTGGTTTAGAGTTTGCATTAGCCAGTGCAAAGCACATCTGAGCTCAACCAATCAAATCAATCTAAACAATCAATCAGTCAGAGAGAATTTGTAAATCGATCATGAATACATTTTACAGGAAAAATTAAAATGTTTGTCTTTTTTCGCGTTATTGTTATGTTATAAAAGAAATAAAAGATGTTTTTCGTGTTAGCATAGGCTTATGCAAGCCTCGGACACGTTTGTGAGAACTCTCGAGGTTGGCAACTCTCGACCTTCGGTCTGGCTTGCACTGATCTGCTCTCGAGTTCTCCAAAGGTCTCCTCGGTTTGCATAAGCCTGTGCAAACACAGTAAACATCTTTTATTTCTTAATTGAAAAACTCACTCGAGCATGTTTTTTCTAAAATGCACTCGAAATCATGCTATTACATTTACTTATCCACTACTATTTATTAAAAACTGTACTGCTCTAAGCCAATTAGAATGGAGAAATTTTTCATGAGTACATTAGAAAGAAAAAGTCCACAAAAACGTAAGATACGAGAATGGAAGACAAAACACAACATCATTCGCAGTGAAGAGAGTATACTGAGGCAGTAAGTTTTATATATGAAGCACTGGAGATGTAGAAAAAAGGCTGGAATGTACAAGGAATTAAGTTTAACATTAGATCCCTCTGAAGAAGAAAGTACATTAGGTATGTAAAGAATCGCATAACACAATATCCATTTGAAGATTCTAGCAGCAAATGTCGTTGGTTTAATACCTTATCAAAAAACGTCTTAAATTTGTCTGAATATTTACATTCCAAAGCATGGACATCTCGGTAGAACTCTGCTCGAGCTTTGACATGACACCTTTATTAAAAACGCAAATGTGAATGTAAAACATACGCATAGACTGCAATGGGCAAAACAGAATACACAACCCTAAACCCAGCAGTCAGGAGAATTTGCAGAACACTTAAAACGACAACGGAACACGGAAAAGATAACTTCATCAGATTCAAAATTTCACCACGAGCTTTTAGCATCTCATATTAGCCACTTCAAAACGTTTATGTTAAAATCCAGCCGCTGGAATCTTACTGTCAAAATTTACCCCTGTAATTCTATCTGTACCCGTGTTACAAATAAGTACATACACAGCCCAACAAATTTCACATTCATGGGAGTATGAACCAGCGGAGTGCCCCGAAAACGTAAAACAAATTAGTAATGCAAATAGTGCAACAGTTTTGTATAAAGACATGCAGTTCTTCATAGAACTAAATATGGCATATAGACGAATGAAACTAAAAAAAAATTCTGAAGTACGATATTTGTGTGCCAATATGGTCAGTTTCATTTTGTGAAAAATGCAACAATTTCCAAATGGGAGTTTCTAGCTACATTATTACACCGATTTTTTGCAGAGACATAGCATTACGTTGCTTTTTGTTGTCAAGACGATCAGGCAACCCTAATTTAGAATGGAGGCATCCCTCCAAAAATTATGCAGAGGCTACTTTTGGGAAGGCTAATGAGTGAGATTTGGAAGCCTGTTACCATGGCACATTCAAATTTAGTACAAAATTTTTACATTTTTGTGTGACCTCATAATGTAGATGATTTGAAGGTTCAGGAAATCAGAATTTCCTAAGCAATGCACTCAAATCTCTTAGACTAGAGGGTTCTCTATATCACGCCTTGTGCACTTGCAGCTAGCAACTGTACCACTCCCAAATTTGGCTATGGACATAAAAGGATGTCAATTTACTCAGCCAATTGATTTAAAACACAAAACCTTCATGTGATTATAAATTACTACAATGGTTGTTGGACATGTATGACAATTGGGCAAGTAAAGTACTGCCTCCCCCAAAATTTGAGACTCTATATGTCTTTGATCACATTTCATAGTTTAGGAATTGAAAGATGTTTACTGTGTTTGCACAGGCTTGTGCAAACCAAAGATATCTTTGGGAGAACGCGAGAGCTGATCAGTACAGGCCCAAGCCCAAAGATTTACCAATTAAGAAAAAAGTGGTTTAATTTAATTTTTTTAATTTTTCAATAAATTTGCTAGATAAGGATTGTGTGTGTAAACAGAAAAAGTCACTGGTATGCTCCTTTGAAGTGAATGCACTTTACAACACACACACACACACACACACAAACACAAGTGATAATGCAAACAAACTACAAGAAAAGGGCTTGGAGCATTAGAAGCATCCCTCCACATTTAATGTAACGCTAAATAGTTACTCAGAATTGCCATTTTCTCAACAAATTCAAAACCAAATTTTCATATCTCATTATTAACAACTTAGTACATCACATTATAAATTTGTTTTACCTGAATATTTTTAGTGCCTTTATTCTATCCTGAACCACTTTTGGCAAACTGAAATAACATGAAACTCAATCTTCAATAATGTACTTTAAAGGCAAAACCACATCATGCAATATCTAACTTTTACCAATGTTTCACATCCTTGATGTAAAAGGGGAAAAGGTTGCTACTTTTAGAAATTAATACAATGTGAGTATACATTTAAATAAGGCATAACAAATGATACAACTTTAAACATTAATCAAACTGAAGACAATGAAATACACAACAGGTATCTCCAAATAATTTATGCATTTCAATAATTAGGAATGATTATGTTACATTTGTAGCCATTATACTTTTAAGACTAAAGGCTTGCTTTTCATTATAAACAACTTAATAACAACCACAAAATTGCCAACCTTTCAATATATCCAGATGATGTTCCAATAACCCTTCCAAGTTGTGCTCTATCAATACATAATTCCACATGCATTGAATTAAACAAAACAAACAAACAAACAACATTTGTATACCGCCAGTATTTTTCTATGCCAAACGCCTCTATCTCTCGCCATATCTCTTTGTTATACCCATCGCTTCATATCACTGTTCACAGCATCCATCCACATCTCTTTCGGTCTACCCGCTTATGGACTCCATCAACATTCATATGCAACGTTTCTACTTAATTTCAGCACTTTCCTTCCACATGCCTAAAACCAATTCAAACGCTATGCTTTACCCAATTTCGATACACTCCAACACCAACTCTTTCTAATCTCTTCACTTTAAATCCCATCCATCAACGCTACACACATCATCCTAGCATTCTCCTTTCCGCCGACGCCAATCTCTTCAGGTCCTCTGCTTTCGCGCCCAACACTCTGCTCCATATCCCAAAACACTTCTAACACATGCCTTATACAATTCTCCCTTCTGCTTCAACGGTCGACTCTTCCGCACAACATTCCCCAAACTCTCTAAACTCACGCTTGCTTGAACTCTGTTCCTCACCGCTCTCACCTCCACCATCATTTAAATATATTGATAAATATAATTAATGTATAGCATTTCCTTTCAACGAAAGACTGACATAAAATTACATGTTTAATAAATGAAGTTTCCATATAGTTATAACTTGAAAGAACGTGAACTTACAGGGCAAAAAATAGCGCCAGTTTCAAGTTGTTATTCAATTTTCATCAAAATAATTAGTAATTAGTACATATTTTCACAAATGTATGAGCTTTTAAACAATGCAAAAAAGTTAAAAAGAATCTTCAATTTTCTAACATTAATTTTTACATCCCCAATTCTTCCAATAGTGTTGAGATTTGCAAACATAGCTGCTAATTTTAACCAAGCATTATCAAAATTGTTTTAAATAAATGGTTTGAACCTGGGAGTGTTGTAACATGCTGGTGAATGAAGATCGCCCAGGTTAGTAGGCAAAACAAAATTATTCACAAACACAAAATTATTTTTACCAGCAGATAACCTGTGGATTTTGCATCATGTTTTGTAAACAATAGTGTCTTCTAAAGAACCACATATTTTTGTGTTAAAATGCAAATAATATGTTTTGCATTTGATCTAATGACATTCATTTTGACACATACTAAAGACATACACAAGTTAAAACAACCATAACACTGAATTACTAACTAAAAATCATGGCAAAGTTTGGTCTGATAGACTAACATTGTTCTCAAGGCAAAACATAGAGGGGGAATCTATAGTAGAAAGTCAGTCCCAATTGCCACAAGAGATTTCCGCAAATCTGATAAATGTGTGTTTCAAGTTACTGCATGGTGCATGCACATTGTTGGCTGTGCAGCTTTGTAATGGGCCTAATGACGCTTACAAACAGCAGTTGGCTCTGGCTTCGTTGAATATTGAAAGTAATACTGAAAGTTGAAAGTTACTGACTTTGAAGGAATAAGTTAATGAATATTGAATGCTGACAATTAAAACTGGGTTCAGAAGGTATCAGTTGAATAATGACAATATGTAGAAAACTATAATATAGAATTTAAATATATTTCTGACTTTAGTGGCCTACAGCATCATACAGACTGTCACGCAATATCATACCTGCATTGCTACTTTTCACTTTGTTTAGCCACAATTTTCTACTGCATTTTATATTATACCAAGTAGCTGCAGGAGATCTTCCACTAGTGGCCAATGGAGATTCTGCTTATGGGCCAACTTTCTACTATGGGGGAATATGTACTGAGTAACAAATCACGTATGGTTAGTGGGGTTTGAGTTGATGATTGTATGCATTCACCTATATTTGTTACCATTCCTGGATTCACTAACCATAAAAGTTGAATATTATTCACAGTTGTCAAAATATAAGATAAAACAAAATTACAGTCATTTAAATGCAATACATGCTTTTAAGGAACGACGAGCATACAAGACGATTTATTGCTTTAACCAGTCAAGCAAATGAAAAACATTCTTAAAAAAGTAAAACTTTAGTTGGCAAGCATTTGCAAAACGGGAATGTCATGAGCAATTTGCCCATTTTCTAAATTACAATGAACGCAATATTTACGTCCAGCCTAAAAGACAATTCCGTAGAAAATCTGGTGAACATGTTTGCTTTGTTGTTTTATATTTTTAAAATGTACAAACTCTGATTCGGCCCCCAATTTGTGATTGATGAAGACTTTATAGAATACTAGACTTTTTAAATAGCAGTTGACCAAGTTTTCAGTAGAAGAACAAAGCTAAGCCTTATAAATTGTAATATAAGATTTTTTCTGCAACGGAAGCGTGTTCCTAATATTATTTACATAGCAATTTGCCTCACAAGAATACTAACGATTTGGTGGAGAACTGCCTTCTGTCGATTCTGCTGGATCTGCCATCTTTCCTAGTTATGAAAATTAAGGTACATTACGAATTTACGACCGCAAAAATATTCTAACTAAACAAGGCAATGAAAGCATGCATGATTTCGCCTATTTTATGCGAACCTCGTGGGCAAAACATACAATCAGTCTAGTATCTATACAATGCTTGTTAAAGCTTTTTGTAAATTGACTTAATGAGCGAATAAATGGTCACATAAACTCTCTAAAACCTTCCACACATATAACATCGTCAAAATTACGCCTGCAAATGAAAAATATTACATCGCTTTTATATGTACGAGCCAGTTGCGCTGTTTCGTCAGTTTCGACACTTCACATGGTGTATATGGTTTAAAGGTGCCAAACGTACCTTCAACGAAGATCTTCACCAGCTAAACAACCAAATCTTCTTACAGATCGCTCAAAATACAGGTAAGAAAAAATCACAAACTTAAAACTGCTAAAGATAATTTCCAGCGACGCTGCGAGAGGATACGATAGTTAATAATCTATGGCGAAACATGCTCTGCCAATTGTCGCGCGAAAGTTCCGCGATACCGGCACGTGTTGGATTATGTTAAACCACGTGGCACTGATCTGACATAGACTGGATAACGCATCTAATTCACATTGAAGCCGGAAGTAAATCTGCCCGAATCGAAGTTGGGGACCCACTTTTCTATAGATTTGTATTACAGAGTCACAGTTCTTGCAATATTTCGCCTTTTACGCATTTCTGATCGGAGCAGTTTTCTTACCACAACTATAGAAAGATAAGAAGAATACTTTGGACGAAAGTTTACAGTTATTTCGACTTCACAACTCTGTGAAACTTGATTCGTAAATTTCAAGGAGTGAACAACCTCTTGATATTATACAAGCTTTTTCTGAATAAGGCGTATGATTCTTCACTGAAAATCGATTCGAAATACAGATTTAATGATCCTAGACAAAAGACGTGTAGAAATAATGTTTTTCAACCATCTACATTCTTATCAGAAGCGAAAGCTGTTATCGAATATATTTTGACTTGGTTTTCTGGACTCTGCTCACTCTGGTGTGGGAAAATATACATGAACAAAGGCTGGAAAACACTAGGCAGTCGCTTCAGTCGCGCGTCCAAAGCGAATTGATGCGCACGCGTCAGTCGCTTGAACGTCAGAAACACAAATGTAGCGACCATCGCAACTTTTACCGTGGCGTCTATTGAACATGGCGGAGATTTCTGTTTGTTACAGACACAGACATCACTTAAACTTTTATTTTGGCCTATTATAGCTACTAATATATGAATATTTAATCAGTACAAACTACTATGTGGAGAAAAGAGAACGCCAGTTAAAACACGCCAATATGATCACAGCCCATTACGCGTATATTGTGAACAATCTTATTCTGTGCGTTTAGGTTGTGCATTAACGTTCCAGTTTGTAGCTCCTTTTGTCCCTATTTGATAAGTCATATAAAATCTGAAGGATTCCAGTGTGAATTCACTAAAAATTGCCCTCGTTTTCCAAGGTATAATCCATAAATTCCGTATGATGCTTATGACAGGGAACATGATATGCATTTAGGAAGTTGAAATCTATCTATTGGCCAATCAGTGTGAAGCAACTAAAGCGACCAATGGTGGTTCTGTAGTGTTAAGCGACCAATGGTGGTTCTGTAGTGTTAAGCGACCAATGTAACATGTTGAAAGTTCAACATGTTGAACTTTCAAAGCGACTAGATGACGCGACTACGTTACTTAAAATCAAAAGTTAAGCTTTCAATTGGGCATATCTTAAAAATACATGATATAATAGACTTGGTCAGTTACTCCACAAATACAAATAAATGTAGCAGTGTAGTTGTTTTTCTTCCCAAATTTACTTATTTGTAAACCATTAACCACAGGCCATACTCAAAACATCCCAGTATGTTTTTCTGTGTAAATAGTTTTGGCTCAGTTGGTTGAAAAGAGCAAGTTTTCCCAAATCACGTGGCCAGTATTCGTTCGAGACATTGTTCATATCCCCTACAAATGTCAGTCAAACTTTGATCAAGATCACACAAACTCATTCTTATAAACAACAAATAACATACTAACATATAGTAACCACAAACAGACCAAGTAGTCTTATATGAGTTTGTATGTCATATGGTATTAAAGACTTACCAAATTCAAGTCGTCATTTTCGCTTCTGAAAGAATAAAATGGTTGACTGAACCTAACTTTCACCCTAAATTCGTCTACCATCATAACTTCTACATTTCAAATCGACTTTGAGAGAAAACCTTCGTCTTATTTGGAACAAGTTTGTGTATTGTGGGTTGTTTCACTCCTTCAAATTTACGAATCAATTTTCACAGCGTTGTGAAGCGAAATAACCGTAAATTTTCGTCCAAAAATATTTTTCTTATCTTTCTATAGGTGTGTTAAGAAAATTGACCCGATCAGAAACGCTTTAAAGACAAAAAATACAAAACTGTGATTCTGTAATACAAATCTATAGAAAAGTGTGTCCCCAACTCTGATTCGGGCAGATTTACTTCCGGCTTCAATTTTTGCTAGAAAATTTTCTGTCTATTTCTAATTTTTCTAAATTTTTCTGTCTATTTCTAATATTTCTAATTTTTCTAAAATTTTTCTGTCTATTTCAAATCAGTGCATTTCTTCTATTTAAAATGCAGCCTAAAGAAATTATTTAGAAGAATTACAGATTATGGGAGGGCCATTTATAGCCTGAAGTATAATATGAATTATATGAAGATAAAGGACACGAGATGTAACAATGTAATACCACACCAAAATAGCAATACAAAGAAGCTTTAACTAAAATAAACAAAACGTCACAGCTGTCGCAACCCATTGTGCGGCGGCCCACAAGAGTCACGGCAATAAACAAAACTCCACGGCGGAAGTGAAATATACGAGACAATATACAATATGCCGCCAAAATATCAAATTCACAATGGCCCTTTTTATACTAGAGACGGATCATCCGTCTTAGTCCAGCTGTTAATGACAAAATTCTTCACTTTGA